TAGCCGCTAGTCGGAAGAAGCACTGCCAAAGCGGTAGATGGCCGGGAGGAGGCTATGGATTTAGTACAATAAGTTCTACCGCGTCCTCCAGACAAATTTGGACCGATCGAGGCGGGCGCAAGACCTGCTCTTCCAAACCACCCAGGAGAGCAGGGTTGTCTTGGCGGTAGTGGCCGAGCCATATCTAGTGATCGATTCCTCTATCTGGGTCTCGGACCTGGACCGCTTGGTCGCCATGATTTGGACGTCAACGCCAGGTACGTCCGTCTCCGGTACCCTTCTTGATCGTAACAACGGATTCGTCGCGATCGAGTGGGCTGGCATGGTAGTGGTGGGCGTTTACGTTTCCCCCAACAGCGGCCGAGCCGCTTTCGACAGCTTTTTGGACGGGGTCCGCGACTGCGTGTCTCGATATCTTCCCCGGCAAGTCCTCGTTCTGGGGGATTTTAATGCCCATGCCATGCAGTGGGGAAACTCCAGGACGGATGCCCGCGGCCGAGCGCTGTTAGATTGGGCTGCTGGCTTCGGGCTGATGCTCGTCAACAGGGGATCGGCGAGCAGCTGTGTAGTGTGGAGGGGATGCTCCGTAATTGATCTTACGTGGGCCACTCCTAGTGCATTCCGACGGTTCTCGGATTGGAGAGTGGACGAGTGGGCCTTACGATCGACAGTCTGTGGACGTTCGGGCCGCACTTCGAGCTCCTGGTTGCTAAAGTAACGTCCGCAGCCAACATCTTATGCGGCCTACTGCCGAATATCGGCGGGGCCGGAGTCAGAGTTCGTCGGCTGTACGAGGAGATGATTCGATCCCGTGTTCTTTACGGGGCCCCGGTGCGGGCGGAAGATCTGATGGCGAACAGTCGCAGTTTACTCCTGTTGAGGAGGCTGCACAGGACGACCGCCATCAGGATCGTTAGAGGATATCGAACCATATCTTATGTGTCGACGTCTGTTCTGGCGGCTTCCCCTCCGTTCGAGCTTCAGGCCTTGGCACTCCGCCGGGAATATCAACACCTAAGAGGCTTGGGCTCGAGCGGGCTTACTCCCCCTATTGCCGGGCAGGTGGCCTCGGATGTCCGCGAAGAGGCGAGGATGGACACCTGGGAGCGGTGGCGCTTCGATCTTCTCGCCGAGGATGCGATGCGGGCTTGCCGTGGTGTGAGAGCTGTTCTCCCTAAGTGGGAGGTTTGGAAGGACCGCGACGGGCTCCCGCTGACCTTCAGGATGACGCAGGTGCTTACCGGACATGGAGCGTTCGGGGAGTACCTCCTAAGGATTCGGCGATAGGTGACTGACACTTTTCACCAGTGTCAGGAAGTGCAGGACACGGCGCAACATACGTTGGAATTCTGTCCAGC